AATCGTCAACCCAAACGCAATACCAGGTACAAATCCTATTACAGCTGCAATCCAACTGAACATCTCTTCATCTTCTTCTTCTGGTTCTGGCGTTTCAGACTGTTGCGGTGAGGGCTTGTGGATATCTCCGCAATTATCTTCAAGTCCCGGGTTATCTGCGAAGGAAGAGCAAGGCTGCGTTCGAAACTGAGTGCCTCCTGGTAATAGACCTACAAGTTGGTTATGGGAGAAGTTCATGTAAGAAAGGAACGAGAGATTCCCTAGCTCTTGTGGAATTTCTCCTGAAAGCTTGTTTTGGGAAACGTCTAGTGACTCGAGAGCTGTCAGGTTCCCCATGGACGATGGAATGTGGCCATTGAAAGCGTTGTTTGACAAGTTGAGCACGTGAAGCTCTTGCAGTAAGCCGATGGACTTTGGAATCTCGCCTTCAAGTTTGTTTCCAGAGAAGTCGAGTGCTGTGTAGATTTTTAGGATACGTACCAGCTCCATCTCTATTCCTTTATTCATCAAAACCATTGAATCTTTGTAATAGCCTAATTCATCTCCCATATAACGTTCTTTTGACTGATCTTCATGAATCCCAAGTGATGACATTGAACTCCAGTTCTCAAAATAATCAGATGGTAGAGTTCCATTGAATTGATTGTGTGATATGTCAATGATCTTCAGGTTAAGGAATGTTCCTTGATGTATCGACCCATGGAATGCATTGGAGCGCAAGACAAGAACTTTCAGGTTCTGTAGAGAACTCAACCAGAACGGAAACGTGTCGTTGATTCTGTTGCTTTCCACATTGAGAACTTCAAGATTGTAGAAATGAGTCAAAGATCTTGGAAGCTTTCCCACCAATTGGTTGTGACCAAGGTCAAGCGTTTGTAGACCTTTAAATACATTCTTGGGAAGACCTCCACTAAGATGGTTCTGACGTAGGTTCAGAACTGAAAGTTTGCTCTTGAGATTTCCCATGCAAAGAGGGATTGAACCATTGAAGTTGTTGTTTGATAAATCGAGAATGGTTAGAGAGTGAAACTCGCATATGAGAGATGGAATCTCTCCTGTGAAGTTGTTTTTAGAGCCAGACAAGTACTCCAGGACTGAGGATAATCCATGGTTCATTGATCTTTCAAAGTTGACGAATGTGTTGTTGGAAAGATCCACAAACCTCAGATTTGGTAGCGTCCATAACCAGCCAGGAACTTGACCTTTGATTTTGTTGTTGGAAATGTCTAGAGTATCCATATCCTGCTGGAATCTTAGTAGCTCTGGAAATTCCGTAATGCCGCAGCCTGACAAGTTTAAATCACCTATCATTTGTGAAGGATGATCTGAAACTGAACTTTTGTTTGAGGCTAAAACATGGTTTCCTGAGAGATCCAGTCTGTCCAGCGTCTTGGAAAATGATGAGATTGCATTCAAGTTAATCGTTGTTGTGGTGTTCAAATGGGAGAGGTCAAGTCTGGAAAGCGACTTGAGATGCGAGAAGATACTGAGGTCAACTGGGCCTTGGGTGTTCCAATGGGAAAGGTCAAGATACTCAAGATTGACTAATTTGGAAATGGATCTAGGGATTGGCCCTCTGAAGTTGTTATCTCCAAGATATAGCCATAGGAGATTAGATGGTGAAGATATATTCCAAAACTCAAGAGTGCCACTGAGTTGGTTATTTGACAAATAAATATGTGCCAAAGAAGGAATGTTGAAGAGAGAAGAAGGAATCGTTCCAACGAAATTGTTATAATGTGCGTAAAAATACTCCAAGTTGGAGAGTGAGGTAATGTTTGGTGGAAGCCTTCCTGTGAGCTGATTGGAGAAGAGTGATAAAAACGACAGCTTTGTCAAATTAAGTAATACAACAGGAAAGTTTCCACTAAGCTTATTGGAGTATAATCTTAACTTGGTCAACTGTTTCAAACTGCCAAAAGAAGATGGGATTTCACCATCGAAATTGTTATAACTCAGGTCAAGATATTCGAGATGAGAGAGCTTTCCAATTGAAGATGGAATCTGACCCCAAAACCGATTTCTAAAAAGATCGAGAAAGGTGAGATGTGAAAGGTTTCCAATTGAGGATGGAATCTGACCCGAAAACTGACTCCATGAAAGACCGAGAGAGGTGAGGTGTGAAAGATTTCCAATTGAAGATGGAATCTGACCCCAAAACTGATTATAAGAAAGATCCAGAGAGGTGAGATGTGAAAGACTTCCAATTGAAGATGGAATCTGACCAGAAAACAGATTATCAGAAAGTCTGAGAGAATCGAGATGAGATAGCTTTCCAATTGAAGATGGAATCTGACCCGAAAACTGATTACCAAAAAGATCGAGAGAGGTGAGATGTGAAAGGTTTCCAATTGCGGATGGAATCTGACCAGAAAACTGATTATTAGAAAGAGCAAGAGAGGTGAGATTTGAAAGATTTTCAATTGAAGATGGAATCTGACCCGAAAATTGATTAACAGAAAGAGCTAGAGAAGTGAGATGTGTAAGATTTCCAATTGAAGATGGAATCTGACCCGACAATTGTTGATTATAGGAAAGGTCGAGAGAGGTGATATGAGAAAGTTTTCCAATAGAGGATGGGATTTGACCATATAAATAATTCCATGAAAGGTCTAGAGAAGATAGAAAACGAATGTTTTGAAAGGTATTCGAATGAAACCTGCCATGGAGGCAGCTGCAGCTGAGATCTAGCTCGATCACTTCCCCAGACTTGGCATCGCACTTGATACCTTCCCAATAACAACAATCACTGCTATTTTTCCATGACTCCGTCTTTGGATGAGGCATTACATCACTATCATTAACATTACACCCAGGAGAAGAAGACTTCCTGATCTCAAACTCGTTCTTGAACTCGAGAAGTGCATCCCTTTGTTCAGGACGACACACATGCCTAATAGGAACTGCAGACACGTTTTGAAAATAAAGTATAAAAGAGAAGAGAAAAGAAAAAGTGATATGAATGGTCCTCATTGAGTTCCAACAGCCTTTCGTTCTTCTTCTTCAAGCTAATTTAATTTCTCTTGAACATCAATAATAAAGAAGCGAAAGATGGAAATGGTGATAGTAAAACATGGTTTCATGCCCCGTCTCTTTATATAGATTTTATATAGAGAGTGCTCCAGATTCACTCAGATTGACTCTCATCATCAAGTCTTTGTACGAAGTGTTATTCACGTTGAGAAAACAGCATAAATGTATTTTGGTCCAACCAAATTAAAAGATATACACAACAAAGAATAACGAAATCCTTAATGAAAAAGAAATTAGATATACATTACAAAAAGAGTACAAGTCAAGAAGAGACGATTTGCTATGGGTAATGATAATCATGTGGTCGATGTAAAGAGAGCTCTCAGGAAGAAGATAAGGTTGAAAAAGAAAGAGAAACTTGAAATTGTTGGAGTTCAGAGCAGAGTTGGCTTACTTTTCAAGTCATTGTCTTTCGTCTTTTCTGAAACAAAACTCACCAGTCAATATTGCTGAATAGTTTGAGAAATCTATTTGTTTGTTTGTTTGGTTTCTTTTGTCATGATACATTTTTTCTTTGTTCGAGTTTGATTTATATGGTTTGTTTTAATTGCTTCGTGATACTAAACTTAAGTAAATCTAATCGATTAAAAACTATGATGCGCACTATGGACAGAAGACATGCAAATAAATTATTTTGAAAGCTCTGCAAAACGAACGAGAAGCCAAAGAGAATAAGTATTATCTCTTCTTGGAACTGAGATGAAGTAGCGCTTGCTTGCAACACAAGCATCTATTACTGTGTCTCTATCTCATTTGTCAAGTAAGTTCAAACGCAAGAGTGGCTGTACAGAGATGCTTGAGTTCCACGCCATACTTAGTTTTGCGAATATAAATGAGAAAGTTCCTTTTTTTCACTATATAAATAAAGGAAATATACTATTTATTGATTCAAAAGACAAAAAAACAAACTACTATAGTACTCATTAGTTTGCTTTCCTAGCAAAATGTGTCCAAAATGGTAATGTTACTATTAGAAATTGCAAAATAGACGAAACGTATAATTCAAGTTTTTCTATGCAAATTTGAAGCTTTTGTGTGTAGTTTCCTATCCAGTTAAACTAATTCTATATTTGCTACCAAAATAATTAATATTAGTAATTTCCTGTTCTATCGACGATGAACCACCATATATGATATGATCTATGAGCATCCAATCACCATTCACTCTATAGTTTTAACTTTTAACCATTATATGCAACAAACATAATAAACATAAACATACAGAGAAACTAACTCTATTTTTGCTATATAGTATTTATTTATTTATGGAGTTACAATCGATTGTTCTTGCCTCCTCTGCTTCTCACTTTCACTTTCTTCTTCATTAAACCGATCTACACTGTTTATAAATATCCCTGCCAAAACAAAACTCGCAACAAAAACAGCTTCTTGATTTGGACAAGAAAAATTTATTCAGGTTCAAGAATTCAGATTTGCTTTTACCTATAAACCATAGTGCGGCAGCTAAGAACAGACCCGATGTAAGAATCAATGCTGTTTTTCTCCAACTGTTTATATGATCCTGCATATACAACAACAATGGAGCATTTTGGTTTCTGTTTTCTCTCTTTTCAAGTATTGGCGATGACAAGAAGAGATCTTTCTTTTACCTGAACGATACCGACAAGAGGAGAAGAAGGAACATCGCCAAATATGTGAATCGCAACGGTAGAGATAGCCATTGATAATGGTCTTAAACTTGGTTTCACACAATGCAAACACACATAGTTCACAGGAGCCTGAAGAAGAAGAAGAAGATAAGACGAATCTGTTCTTGTTACTGATGAAGAAACATAACGATATTACAACAACACTAAGACGCAAATTTTTTTTACCTGTGAAGCAAACACAAGAAGCTCTCCTAAGGCAAAGAGAGCGATGAAACCGTATAAACTCTTTAAGGTAAATGCAGTGAAGCAAAAGATCGCTCCAAGAAACGTTACATACAAAGATCAAAAGGTTTTGATTCAAAATCCGAAAGCAAAAAGAGAGAAAAAGCTTTTCTTCTTCACCTTGAAAGCATTTGGAATTGTTGCAGTGACACGATCAAGTATAAACCCTCCTGATAATGTCCCAATGATCCCACAAATGATAGTTACTGCCCCAAAGATCATATCGGCGTTTTTCTGACAAGATAGAACAAAAGTTTCAATCTTTCAAGAACCCTCAAGAAAAAAATTGATAGAAACAAACTGTTTCACCATTTTGTAAAGGTTATAACCAGCCTTTGGTCCCCAATATGAGTATGCTCCAATAACAAAGTTGTATGATACATAACCTGTTAACACCAAGTTATATCATCAATCAATGAAGAAGATAAGTAAGAAAAACAGTGAATAGCAAAGAGGACAAAAAATTCTTACCTAAGACATTAACAACAAAGAATTTTTCTTTACATAGAACTTTCATGTCTTTCCCAAATTGAGTAAACAATTTCGAAATTGAGTTCTTGTAACTTGACCTGTCACAGTTGAAGTAAAAAAGATTTGATAAAACTAATACAAAACGTATGGAAGAAAAGTTTAAGGATAATAAAATCAAACTCACTTGTAAGATTCAATGGAGACCTCAATCTCATTACCACCAGCTTGAAGATGATTCTTGTTTTTAGATGTCTCTGCGTCTGCAAAATAGACAAAACTCTCACTGCACAACTGTATAATCAAAGCACATTATCATTAACATACAAGAAAGGTGAAAAAAATTTACCAACTGATAAAGCCATCTTTATAGAATCAGTAGAAGGAAACCCTGTTTCATTTTTCCTTTCTCTGATCAATATCTTTAACAGTTCATGCTTGAAAGTGAAACAGAAGACAGAATCTGTTCTTAACCTTTTAACTGTAGAGGTTTCATCAAGAAACCAAGAACAGCAAATGGAGCCATTAAAACAGCTTCTCCCCAAAACGCATAGCGCCAACTAAAATGTTTTCCAACCTAAAAAATCAACAAGAAGGAATCACAACTTTCTTTACTATCATTAGTCTCAACAATACTAATTCATGAAGGTTTTATACATACGTATCCGCCATAGACATAGCCCAAAGCAACACCACTTGGTATGCACATGTAAAACACACCAAGCCACACAGCTTTCTGAAGAACAAGCAAAAAGGGTTAATCAGAAATGGACTCCATGAGATGTGCAAAAGGTTAAAAGAGAAACCTGTTTGTGAGGAGCATAATCATCTATAAACGGAGCTGCAAGACTGATGAAAGAAGCTTCACCTACACCAACAAACCTATCGAGTAATAATAGTCATACAAATCAAAATTTGGAGCAGGCAAAGTCAAAATCATAAACAAGAACAAAACTTAACTTACATGCGACATAAGACGATAAACCAAAAGGCAAAGGAACTTCCACAACCAAGAACTGCAATAGTCCAAACAGTTAAGCCTACTCCAATAAGTCTAAATGGATTGAAACTGCACTAAAAACAATAAACCACTTCAATAATCTATGTTTTGTTTAGGCCTTAGAAGAAAAAAAATGAAAAATGTTTCCTAACCTTTTTGCTAATGAAGCAAAGATTGGTGATGCAATAAGAAGTCCAACCATAAATGAAGATGACAACACACCATCTTCGAAATTGCTTAGATTGAAATGTCCCCTAGAAGAAGAAACAAATTTGAGTAAAACATAGCAGTAAATATAAAAGCTTTGGGACTTAAACAACCAAACTCTTACTGAATCCCAGTTGCAGGGTTGCATTTGCCCTTATCATTACAACTCCTGGTCCTTCCATTGACACCATTGCTCGCTATAGCACCACGGTCCATGTAGTTTAACAAGTTAATGATGCAGAAGATACAAGTAACCTGAAAAAAAAAAGAGTTTTGATGAAGATAATGATGCAGCAAAGAAATACAGAGTTATGTGTCAAAGACCAAACCAGTATCTTTAGCATATATAAATTGGAATGCAAAGAGATCAAAACACACAATCAAAAATGAGAAACATAGTCTTAAACAGAAGAACAAAGAAAAATCATGGGAAAAGCTTTCAACTTTGCACCGTTTTATTGGTATTCGAAGCGTGAAGGGAGATGTCAAAATTCGTACACTCATGGCGGGAAGAGAGGAAAAGTGAAGAGTAAAGCAATGATTGATGTACCAAATGGGAGACAGAAAGGAAGATTCGACAATGTCTAAATTAATCTAATCGAATTACAGTATATTTCTTTGTGGTCTAGATATATGTTTAAACTAATTATAACGTCGAGTATGCCTTGTTTGTTTTCCTTCGCCCCTGGTTTTGGAATAGGTACGTTGACTCTCCTAATTTGCGCGATGATCGAAGCCTCCTCCGTTCATCTACGTCTTTTCTATGGAACTTGTCGAAAACTCTTGCAGGAGGAAGAAGCAAAGCCTATGAAGACTAAGCGCTTCAGAGTCGATTTCGAGGCTATTAATATTCTCAAAAGCAAAGGGAGATATCCCAGCGCCGGAGCTAATCAGATTATGGGAACTGTTCCTAGTGTTGAGGTTGGAGACGAGTTTCAGTATAGGATGGAGCTGAACATGCTCGGCATACACAGACCGAGCCAAGGCGGTATCGACTATATGAAGATCGGCAGCGACATCTTCGCCACGAGCATTGTAGCCTTCGGAGGGTACGACGACGTGCTTGATAACTCCGATGTCTTGACCTACACAGGTCAAGGCGGAAACGCGATGATGAAACCAAAGAGAGGAGAGCAAGTAAAAGGTCCCGAAGACCAAAAGCTTGTTACGGGAAATTTAGCTTTAGCAAACAGTATAAACAAGAAGAACCCTGTGCGTGTCATAAGAGGCAACAAGAAGGCGGTTTTGGAGTCATCATCATCAGGTGCAAGCAAAGGCGGGAACTATGTCTACGACGGGTTATACGTTGTGGAAGAGTATTGGCAAGAAACCGGATCACACGGTAAGCTCGTCTTCAAGTATAAACTCAAGCGTATACCTGGACAGCCCGAGCTATCGTGGAAAGTGGTGAAGCAAACGAAGAAGTCGGAGAACCGTGAAGGTTTATGCAGGCTTGACATCTCAGAAGGGCACGAGAGGTTACCCATTTGCGCGGTGAACGAAATCGACGACGAGGAGCCTCCTCCATTCATCTACACGGCTAAGATGATTTACCCGAAGTGGCTCACGCGGGTCCCTCCAAAGGGATGCGGCTGCACGAAGCGATGCACGGAGAGTAGAAACTACGAACGATTGATGTTATCGGAAATTTGGTGTTTTGTTTCCGCGAAATCTTAGCTTAGAATCATTGAAAAACGAACGAAAAATTAGATTTTGGAATATGATGAATTGATGTTTTTCGTGTGCTTTGGTTTTTGATTTGCCAAATGTTTCATTGTTGCAGTACAAATCTGGTGAACTTTTGCTTCATAGAAAAACATTGGTGTGCGTCTCTTTGATGAGTTTTGGAATGGGTGTAGTGGAAAACATGGTGAACACAGAGTCATCGAAAGTTAGTTCATTGAGCAAAAGTAATGTTTCTGAGCCAAAGAGGAAGAAAACTTGGAAAAGCGAGATGATGTAACTCAATCAAGTTCTCTCGCAAGAACCGAAGAAAGAGGAATGTTCAGCCTCTCAGCATTTGTTTGCCAGATTGGTTCTTTTGAAGAGCCAAACGTTGTGAAGACGAAAGAGCGAAGAAACTGCGCCTGCGTGGCGAAAAACGGAGGAGAGATACCTTACAACTACGATGGGAACATAGTTTACCCAAAGAGCTTGATCTACGAGTGTGGCCCTCTCTGCAAATGCCCTCCTGCTTGCTACCTAAGAGTCACGCAGCGAGGGATCAGGTTCAAGCTCGAGATCTTCAAAACCGAGTCGAGAGGCTGGGGAGTGAGGTCTCTCAGCTCGATACCTTCGGGTAGCTTCATATGCGAGTACGTCGGCGAGCTTTTGGAGGATAAAGAAGCTGAGAGAAGAACAGGGAACGACGAGTATCTCTTTGACATTGGGAACAAATACGACAACACTTTAGCTGAAGGGATGTCGAAGCTAATGCCAGGGATGGAGAAAGAGAAAGAAGAAGAAGATGGTGGCGATGGTGGTGAGACGACGGGGTTCACCGTCGACGCCGCGAAGAAAGGGAACATCGGGAGGTTTATAAACCATAGCTGCTCGCCGAATCTGTATGCACAGAACGTGTTGTATGACCATGAAGACAAGAGGATCCCTCACGTGATGCTGTTTGCGATGGACAATATACCTCCGCTTCAAGAACTCACTTACCATTACAATTACATGATCGACCAGGTGCGCGATGTTAACGGTAATATCAAGAAGAAGATTTGCTACTGTGGTTCTTCTGAGTGTACCGGTAGGCTCTATTAATCGATTACCCTCAAAACTTTTCTCCCCTTGTTTTAAACTCAGATTCTTCTTGTTTTTATGTTATTCATCAACAGTTTATGTTATACCGTAGAGTCTATATAAATTAATATACCATATAGCAGCAGCTAAGAACAGAACCGATGTAAGAATCAATGCAGCATTTTGGTTTCTGTTTTGTTTTTTCAAGTATTGGCGATGTCAGGAAGAGATCTTTTTTACCTGAATGATATGAGGAGAAGGAACATCGCCAAATTTGTGAATCGCAACTGTAGAGATAGCCATTGATAATGGTCTTAAACTTGGTTTCACACAATGTAAACACATAGTTCATGTTATGGTAAATATATCTCTTTTGATAAATCCTCTTATGATTGGACCTTAACCATGTATAATCATGTCAATCAAATAAACAGGAATACATTTGCGCTATAAATTCATAGAAATACAAACATTGGCTAAAGAAAAAGTAAAAGAGAAAAACAGAGGAAAGAACACAACAAAAACAGAGTAACCGGAAACAATAACTGAAATCAAGACACTGGTAAATGGGTTGCCTTCTTCCCCAAAGCTTCTTTCTCTTATTTGTGGGATTGGTTGCAAAGATTCTTCAAGTTGGGTTTACGAAGGCTACACAAACAAAATATACGTTACTTTCACTTATTCATTCATCCAGAAAATCCTATTATAATATATTCTTTCAAATTCAGAAACATTACCTCTCTAGTTTGCTCTAGTGCTTCTTCTTCTGCGTTTGTTTCGACCAAAAGGACTCGTGAACCACTCTGGTTTGTATGAAACCAATATGTATCCAATCGTCAACCCAAACGCAATACCAGGTACAAATCCTATTGCAGCTGCAATCCAACTTAACACCTCATCATCTTCTTCTTCTGGTTCTGGCGTTTCAGATTGTTGCGATGAAGGCTTGTGGATATCTCCGCAATTATCTTCAAGAGCGGAGCCGAAAAGTCCCGAGTTGTTGTCGAAGGAAGAGCAAGGCTGCCTTCGAAACTGAGTGCCTCCGGGTAATAGACCTACAAGCTGGTTATGGGAGAAGTTCATGTACTCAAGGAACGAGAGATTCCCTAGCTCTTTTGGAATTTCTCCAGAAAGCTTGTTTTGGGAAACGTCTAGTGACTCAAGAGCTGTAAGGTTCCCCATGGACGATGGAATGTGGCCAATGAAAGCATTGTTTGACAAGTTGAGCACGTGAAGCTCTTTCAGTAAGCCGATGGACTTTGGAATCTCTCCTTCAAGTTTGTTTCCAGAGAAGTCGAGTGCTGTGTAGATTTTTAGGATACGTTCCAGCTCCAATGCTACGCCTTTATTCACCAAAACCATTGAATCGTAGTAATAACTGTCTCCCATATAATTTTCAGTGAACGGATCTTGGCTTGTCCCAGCATGTGATGACATTGCACTCCAACTCACAAAACAATCAGATGGAAAAGTTCCGCTGAAGTGATTACGTGAGATGTCCAAGATTTTCAGCTGAAAGAACGAGGCTTGATGTATCCGTCCATGGAATGCATTGGAGCGCAAGACAAGAACTTGCAGGTTTTGTAGAGAACTCAACCAGAATGGAAACGTGTCGTTGATTCTGTTGCTTTCCACATTGAGAACTTCAAGATTGGAGAAATGAGTCAAAGATCTTGGAAGCTTTCCCACCAATTGGTTGTGACCAAGGTCAAGCGTTTGTAGACCTTTAAATACATTCTTGGGAAGACCTCCACTAAGATGGTTCTGACGTAGGTTCAGAACTGAAAGTTTGCTCTTGAGATTTCCCATGCAAAGAGGGATTGAACCATTGAAGTTGTTGTTTGATAAATCGAGAATGGTTAGAGAGTGAAACTCGCATATGAGAGATGGAATCTCTCCTGTGAAGTTGTTTTTAGAGCCAGACAAGTACTCCAGGACAGAGGATAATCCATGGTTCATTGATCTTTCAAAGTTGACGAATGTGTTGTTGGAAAGATTCACGTAATGCAGATTTGGTAGCGTCCATAACCAGCCAGGAACTTGACCTTTGATTTCGTTGTTGGAAATGTCTAGTTTCTCCATACGCTGCTGGGTTCTCAGAAGTTCTGGAAATTCGGTAATACCGCAGCCTGACAAGTTTAAATAAAATATCATCTGTGAAGGAGAATCTGAAACTGAACTTTTGTTGTTTGTGGCTAAAACATGGTTCCCTGAGAGATCTAATGCTCCGAGTGACTTGGAAAATGATGAGATTGCATTCAAGTCAATCGTTGTTGTAGTGTTCAAATGGGACAGGTCAAGACTTTCAAGCGACTTGAGATGCGAGAAGATAGTGAGGTCAACTGGGCCTTGGGTGTTCCAATGGGAAAGGTCAAGCCTCTTAAGATTGACTAATTTGGAAATGGATCTGGGGATTGGCCCTCTGAAGTTGTTACCGCCAAGGTATAACACTTGAAGCTTAGGTGGTGAAGATATATTCCCAAACTCAAGAGTGCCGTTGAGTTGGTTATTTGACAAATAAATACTGGCCAAAGAAGGAAGGGCGATAAGAGAAGAAGGAATGGTTCCAACGAAATTGTTATCATCTGCGTAAAAATACTCCAAGTTGGAGAGTGAGCTAATGTTTGGAGGAAGCGTTCCTGTGAGCTGATTGTAGTTCAATGATAAATACGACAGCTTTGTCAAATTAAGTAGCGCAACAGGAAAGTTACCACTAAGCTTACTGAAGTCTAAATCTAAGTCGGTCAACTGTTTCAAACTGCCAAAAGAAGATGGGATTTCACCATTGAAACTGTTACCTCTGAGGTAAAGAGCTTGGAGATGTGAAAGGTTTCCAATTGAAGACAGAATCTGACCCGAAAACTCATTAAAAGAAAGGTCGAGAGAGATGAGATTCGAAAGGTTTCTAATTAAAGACAGAATCTGATCCGAAAACTGATTATAAGAAAGGTCGAGAGAGATGAGATTCGAAAGAGTTCCAATTGAAGATGGAATCTGACCAGAAAACTGATTACGAGAAAGTTTGAGAGAGGTGAGATGAGAGAGTTTTCCAATGGAGGATGGGATTTCACCATATAAATCATTTTTTGAAAGGTCTAGAGAAGATAGAAAACGAATGTTTTGAAAGATATTCGAATGAAACCTGCCATGGAGGCCACTGCAGCTGAGGTCGAGCTTGATCACTTCCCCAGACTTGGTATCACACGTGATACCATCCCAATAACAACAATCAATGATATTTGCCCATGACTCCGTCTTCGGATATGGGCTAATATCACAAGCACCACCAAAAGAAGAAGGCTTCCCAATCTCAAACTTTGTCTTGAACTCGAGAAGTGCATCCCTTTGTTCAGGACGACACAAATGTTTAGTCGGAACAGCACACACGTTTTGAAGATAAAATATGAACGAGAAGAGAAAAGAAAAAGTAATACGAATGGTCCTCATTGAGTTCCAAGAGCCTTTCGTTCTTCTTTTTAAGCTAATTTAATTTTCTTGAATATCAGAAACGTTTAATAGAAATGGTGATAGCAAAACATAGTTTCATGCCCATCTCTTTATATACATTGCATATAGAGAGTGCTCCAGATTCACTCAGATTGACTCACCATCAAGTCTTTGTACGAAGTGTTATTCACGTTGAGCAAACAGAGTGAATGTATTTGTGTTCCAAACAGAGTGAATGTATTTGTGTTCCAAACATTTTGGTCCAACCAAATTAATGAAAAAGAAATTAGATAATACATTACAAAAGAGTAAAGAAGAGACGATTTGTTATGGGTAATGATAATCATGTGGTCGATGTAAGGAGAGCTCTCAAGATGAAGATAAGGTTGAAAAAGAAATTGTTGGAGTTGGGAGCAGAGTTGGCTTACTTTTCAAGTCATCGTCTTTTGTCTTTTCCCCCATGAAACAAAACTGACTAGTCAATATTGCTGAATAGTTTGATAAATCTACTTGTTTGTTTGTTTGGCTTCTTTTGTCATGATACATTTTTTCTTTGTTCGAGTTTGATTTATATGATTTGTTTTAATTGCGTCCTGATACTAAACATAAGTTAATCTAATCGATTAAAAACTATGATTCACACTATGGACAGAAGGCATGCAAATAAATTATTTTGAAAGCTCTGCAACACCAACAAGAAGCCAAAGAGAATAAGTATTATCTCTTCTTGGAACTGAGATGAAGTAGCGCTTCCTTGCAACACAAGCACCTATTACTGTGTCTCTATCTCATTTGTCACAGTACCTGTAATTGTTTTAGCTGTCTGGTAGACAAAATCAGGAAGGAAGGCAAGCCAGAATAAAGAAGACTTTCTTTTTTTTTCACTATATAAAAAAAAGGAAATATACTATTTATTGATTCAATAGAGTAAGCGACTATATAGTACTTATTAGTTTGTTTTCCTAGCAAGATGTATCCAAAATGGTAATGTTCCAAGTTAAAGATAAAGAACTGAGAAGAAGCACAATGATCACATTCTATACAACCAAAAAAAAGAATTATACAGCCTGAAACGTGTAATTCAAGTTTTTCCATGCAAATTTGAAGCTTTTGTGTGAGATTTGGCTCATTGTGTTTTGTAACTGTACAAATACACACAGATTTCTCTACTTTTGCTATATAGTATTTATTTATGGAGTTACAATCGATTGTTCTTGCCTCCTCTGCTTCTCACTTTCACTTTCTTCTCCATTAAACCGATCTACACTGTTTATGAATATCCCTGCCAAAACAAAATTCGCAACAAAAACAGCTTCTTGATTTGGAACAAGAAAGATTTATCTAGGTTCAAGAATTGAGATTTGCATTTTACCTATAAACCATATTGCATCATATTAGAGAATATATTGTGATAAGTCTTGTCAATATACGATAAGGATGTATTAGGAATAAGATAAGTCCAAATAAGACTCGAGATAGGATTCAATCATGTGTATAAATATCGTGTACGATTGAGAGATTAATACATACAACATTCAAAGTATCTTACAACCTTTTACATGGTATCAGAGAGGTTTTCTGAGACCTAAAACTTGTTTTTTTTCTTTCTTACAAAAGTTCTAGTTGAACGATGTCGATTGTTGAAGACTCTGCATCAAAGGCTACAGCTTCTTCCAAGGATAAGGATTCAACAATCACGCCTTATTCCTTGTATGCATCTGATAATCCCGGTGCTTTGATAACGTCTGTGACGTTAAACGGTGAGAACTACAACGAATGGTCAACGGAGATGCTCAATGCCCTCCGTGCCAAACGAAAGACGGGGTTTATTGATGGAACAATCCCCAAACCTGCTTTTGATGATCTGAATCTAGAGCTGTGGCTCTCGGTCAACTCCATGATTGTGGGTTGGATTCGATCTTCGATAGAGTCAAGAGTACGTTCAACCGTAACTTTTATCTCTGATTCTCATAAGTTATGGGAAAATCTGAAGAAACGTTTCTCTGTGGGAAACAAAGTTCGAGTTCACCATCTCAAGGCGCAAATAGCAGCTTGTCGCCAAGATGGACAAAGCGTCCTGCAATACTTTGGTCGTTTATCTGCCATGTGGGAAGAACTCGACATGTATAAGCCAATTCATGACTGCTCGTGTGGAAATTTGGCAAAGATTGAAGCCGAACGTGAAGAAGAGAAGACACATCAATTCGTGATGGGATTGGATGATGCTCGGTTTGGAAGTCTTTGCACAAGCATTATCGGATCAGATTCGTATGATTTAGGAGAAATTTATGCGAAAGTGATTCGCGAAGAACAAAGGATCAACTCCTCACGTGATCGTGAGCAACAACAATCTGCAGTCGGATTTGCTGCAAGATCAACAGAGACGTCCGCTTCCACCACCACACGTTCCAAGAACCTTCAGTGTTCTCATTGTTCTAGAAACGGACATGAGAAGGAAAATTGCTGGCAACTAGTCGGTTTCCCAGATTGGTGGGAAGATCGGACTACAAACAGAGGAGGTGGCAGAGGCTCATCCCGAGGTGGTCGTGGCAATTCAGGAGGTTGTGGCCGTGGTGCAAGCGGAGGCTCCACAACTACAGAGTCGATAGATGCAAACCGCTACAACAAGAATTCTGGAAATCGAGTTCACAACGCCCACGCAACAACATCCAATGCGTCAACGTTTCCTGAATTTACACAGGAGCAATGGAAAGCCTTGTCTCAACTAATTCAAGAAAAGACAACTGCAGCTTCCAATCGGCTTTCTGGTAAGAGCAAACACGGTGATCTTATTCTGGATACAAGGGCTTCTCATCATATGACAGGAGACATGTCACTTCTGCTCCATACAATCAACATTCCACCCTGTTCAGTTGGTTTCGCTGATGGGAATAAAACTTTTGCGACACATTTAGGAGTTCTCCGGTTATCTGATCGGATTACTCTTAATGATGTCTTATCTGTCCCAAACCTCAACTGCTCACTAATATCTGTCTCCAAGTTACTGAGACAAACAAACTATTATGCTTTACTAACGGATACATTATGTGTTTTACAGGACCGTTTCACGAGGACTCTGATTGGAGCCGGTGAAGAGCGTGATGGGGTTTATTATTTTAGGGACGTCATGGCTACAAGGATTCATCAAACCTCTGTTTCAGTTGACCAAAGTTTGTGGCACCAAAGGCTAGGACATCCATCATTTTCTGTGTTTTCGCATTTACCGGATTTTACTAAGATTTCAAATAAGACTGCTGCCCCTAGTCCTTGCGACACATGTTTTAGGGCTAAGCAAACAAGAGAAGTGTTTTATGAGAGTTTGAATAAATCAAATGAGTGTTTTTCTATGATTCATTGCGATGTTTGGGGTCCATATCGCATCCCAGCTTCATGTGGAGCTGTCTATTTTCTTACCATAATTGATGATTTCTTCAGAGCAGTATGGACATATCTCTTGCTTGCAAAATCAGAAGTTAGTAGTGTACTCCGAAATTTTTTCTCTATGGCCGAAAAGCAATTTGGAAAGTCAGTAAAAACGGTCAGGAGTGATAATGGCACTGAGTTTATGTGTTTGTCAAAATATTTTTGTGAACATGGTATGGTTCACCAAACTTCTTGCGTTGCAACGCCGCAGCAAAACGGCAGGGTTGAAAGAAAACACAGACACCTACTGAATGTTGCTAGAGCTCTGTTATTTCAAGCAAGCTTACCCATCAAGTTTTGGGGTGAAGCAGTTCTCACTGCAGCACACCTAATTAACAGAACTCCAACTGCACTTCTTCAATGGCGCTCTCCATATGAAATTCTCTTTGAAAAGAAACCAATATAAGCTGAGCTGCGGGTGTTTGGGAGCCTGTGTCATGCTCATTCACAATCTCGCTCAAAGGATAAATTCGAGTCTAGAAGCAGAGGATGCGTTTTCGTTGGTTACCCCCTTGGCAAGAAAGGTTGGAAACTATTCGATTTGGACAAAGAAGAGTTCTTTGTCTCTCGCGATGTGGTTTTTCACGAAGAAGAATTTCCATTTGCATCTTCATTAACGTCTGCACGTACTCAGTCCAAGAAATTTTCTGCGTACTCTGATTATTATGAAGACGGTGACTGGCTCATAGAGACTACACCAAATATAGAAGAAAGGGGGAGCATGATTGTTTCACCTCCATCGGCTCCTGCACAACTAACTCCGCATGCTGTTATAGATGAATCATCGCCTGCAATTCAAGATGAATCATCGCGTGCAATTCAAGATGAATCATCGCCTGCAATTCAAGATGAATCATCGCCTGCAATTCAAGATGAATCATCGCGTGCAATTCAAGATGAATCATCGCCTGCAATTCAAGATGAATCATCGCCTGCAATTCACGATGAAACATCACTTGCAATCCAAGAAACTTCAGAACCGACGGATGCACCACCAAAGTCACCTACTCCGTCTGGATTAAAGCCTCAAAATCCATCGGATATTGCCGTCACTGTTCCCATCGATGAATTAGGCAAAGGTCTGCGAGACAAAAATATGCCACTTAAATTTAAAGATTACGTCATCTACAATGCGATCTGCTCTACTAAACCCCATCTCGCTCAACACTCCTCAATATCAGCGCCCTCTGAAACAGTCCAAGGTACCACTTCGTATCCTTTAGTGAATTACATCTCTGATATGCTTTTCTCTCAGTCGCATAGAGCTTTCTTGGCGGCGGTTACAGCTCAAACAGAACCACACTCTTATGCCGAAGCAGTCAAATTTCACGAATGGCGAGGTGCGGTGAAGAATGAGGTCGTCGCTCTAGAGGATCAGCACACGTGGGACATTGCATCTCTCCCGCAAGGCAAAGTGGCTCTCGGTTGCAAATGGGTTTTCCGTTTGAAGTTTAACGCTGACGGTACTTTAGAACAACACAAGGCAAGACTGGTAGTGTTGGGAAATAAACAAATCGAAGGGGAGGATTTCGATGAAACCTTCGCTCCTGTCGTTAAGATGGCCACAGTTAGAAGTCTTCTTAAGTTAGTCGCATCTAAAGGGTGGGAAGTGCACCAAATGGACGTTCACAATGCATTCTTACACGGAACCTTGAGGAAGAAGTTTATATGAAATTGCCACCCGGTTTTACGCATTCCGACCCCACAAAAGTTTGTCGTCTCCGAAAGTCTTTATACGGTCTCCGTCAAGCACCACGATGTTGGTTCCAGAAGTTAACGGCTGCCCTTCTAAAATTCGGTTTTATAGAATCATATTCCGACTACTCGTTGTTCATTTACACGTCGGGAGAGATTGAGTTGCGTGTTTTAGTTTATGTGGATGATTTAGTGATTTGTGGCAACGATGGCGCTGTTCTGGAAAAGTTCAAGACATATCTTTCGGAATGTTTTAAAATGAAGAATCTTGGCAAGTTAAAGTATTTCTTGGGTATTGAAGTGGCACGCTCTAAGGAAGGGATTTTTCTTACTCAACGAAAATATGCCTTAGATATTGTGGCTGAAACAGGTCTTCTCGGATGTAAACCTGCAATGACTCCGATTGAACAAAACCATAAACTAGCTTCGGATGATGGCCCTGTTTTACCAGAACCTAGTACATACCGTCGTCTTGTGGGACGTCTGGTTTACTTGGTTAATACACGTCCGGAGCTAAGCTACGCAGTTCATCTGTTATCACAATTTATGAAGGCCCCGCGAGTTGCTCACTGGGAGGCGGCTTTGCGAGTGGTTCGATATTTGAAAGGCTCTGCAGGACAAGGAATTTTATTATCAGCTGATCGTGATCTACGCCTGCAGGTATATTGTGACGCGGATTGGGCGTCATGTCCTTTGACACGCCGCTCCCTAAGTTCATATGTTGTTTTACTTGGCGGCTCTCCCGTTTCCTGGAAAACAAAGAAGCAGGATACTGTCTCTCACTCTTCCGCTGAAGCAGAATACAGAGCAATGGCTGCTGCTACAAGGGAAATCAAATGGATAACACAACTCCTCGGCGATCTCGGAGTTCATCATCCCCAACCAGTCCGTCTATTCTGCGATAGTCAAGCAGCTATCCATATTGCTGCCAACCCTGTTTTTCATGAGAGAACAAAGCATATCGAACGGGATTGTCATAGTGTTCGTGATGAAGTGAAGGCAGGACGCATATCAACGGTTCATGTTCGGACACATAATCAGCTAGCCGATATACTTACTAAAGCCCTCGGCAAGCCACAGTTTGATCATTTGTTGCCCAAGTTGGGTGTTCTTAATCTCCACACTCCAACTTGAGGGGGAGTATTAGAGAATATATTGTGATAAGTCTTGTCAATATACGATAAGGATGTATTAGGAATAAGATAAGTCCAAATAAGACTCGAGATAGGATTCAATCATGTGTATAAATATCGTGTACGATTGAGAGATTAATACATACAACATTCAAAGTATCTTACAACCTTTTACACAGCAGCTAAAAACAGAACCGATGTAAGAATCAATGCTGTTTTTCTACAACTGTTGATATGATCCTGCACTTACAACAACAATGGAGCATTTTGGTTTCTGTTTGCATATACTCATATTGGCGATGACAAGACGAGATCTTTTTTTACCTGAACGATACCGACAAGAGGAGAAGAAGGAACATCGCCAAATATGTGAATCGCAACGGTAGAGATAGCCATTGATAATGGTCTCAAACTTGGTTCCCCACAATGTAAACACACATAGTTCACAGGAGCCTGAAGAAGAAGAAGAAGAAGATTGAGATATATAACAATATTACAACAACGCTAAGGCTCAAAATTTGTTTTACCTGTGTAGCAAACACAAGAAGCTCTCCTAAGGCAAAGAGAGCGATGAAACCGTTTAAACTCTTTAAGGTAAATGCAGTGAAGCAAAAGATCGCTCCAAGAAACGTTGCTCCGGATAAAAGCTGCATACATACGTTAACACGTATCCATCAAAAGGTTTTTATTCAAAATCCGAAAACAAGAAGAGAGAAAAAAAAGCTTTTCTTCTTCACCTTAAAAGCATTTGGAATTGTTGCGGTGACACGATCAAGTATAAACCCTCCTGATAATGTCCCAATGATCCCACAAATGATAGTTACTGCCCCAAAGATCATATTGGCGTTTTTATGACAAGATAGAACAAAAGTTTGAATCTTTCAGGAACACTCAAGAAGAAAGATTGATAGAAACAAACAAACTGTTTCACCATTTTGTAAATGTTATAACCAGCCTTTGGTCCCCAATATGAGTATGCTCCAATAACAAAGTTGTATGATACATAACCTGTTAACACCAAGTTATATCATCAATCAATGAAGAAGATAAGTAATAAGAATAGTGAAAAGTAAAAAGGACAAAAACTATTACCTAAGACATTAACAACAAAGACCTTTTCTTTACACAGAACTTTCATATCTTTAGCAAATTGAGTAAACGATTTCGAAACTGCGTTCTTGTAATTTTACCTGCCACAAGTTGAAGTTTCAATGGAGACCTCAATCTCATTACCACCAGCTTGAAGATGATTCTTGTTTTTAGATGTCTCTGCGTCTGCAAAATAGACAAAACTCTCACTGCACAACTGTATAATCAAAGCACATTATCATTAACATACAAGAAAGGTTAAAAAAATCTACCAACTGATGAAGCCATCTTTATAGAATCAGTAGCATCAGTAGCAGGAAACCCTGTTTCATTTTCATTTTATCAGATTACAATATCTTTAACAGTTTATGCTTTTAATAACCCAAGACAGAATATGTTCTTAACCTTTTAACTGTAGAGGTTTCATCAAGAAACCAAGAACAGCAAATGGAGCCATTAATACAGCTTCTCCCCAAAACGCATAGCGCCAACTAAAATGTTTTCCAACCTGAAAATCACAAATTTTGAACCTTTAAGACAACTTTCTATAAACTAATATCATATTCCCAACAATATACGTACGTATCCGCCATAGACATAGCCCAAAGCAACACCACTTGGTATACACATGTAAAACACACCAAGCCACACAGCTTTCTGAAGTTAAAAAGCAAAAGGGTTAATCAGAAATGGACAAATGTTGCATTTTGAATCCATAAGATGTGCTAAAAAGGTTTAAAAGAGAAACCTGTTTGTGAGGGGCATTATCATCTATAAACGGAGCTGCAAGACTGATGAAAGAAGCTTCACCTACACCAACGAACCTATCGAGTAATAATAGTCATACAAATCAAAATTTGGAGCAGGCAAAGTCAAAATCATAAACAAGAACAAAACTAACTTACATGCGACATAAGACGATAAACCAAAAGGCAAAGGAACTGCCACAACCAAGAACTGCAACAGTCCAAACAGTTAAGCCTACTCCAATAAGTCTAAATGGATTGAAACTGCACTAAAAAACAATAAACCACTTCAATAAGCTGTATTTTGTTTAAGCATTAGAAGAAAAAACTGAAAAATGTTTCCTAACCTTTTTGCTAATGAAGCAAAGATTGGTGATGCAATAAGAAGTCTAACCATAAATGAAGATGACAACACACCATCTTCGAAATTACTTAGATTGAAATTGCCCCTAGAAGAAGCAACATATTTGAGTAAAACATAGCAGTAAATATAAAAGCTTTGGGACTTAAACAACCAAACTCTTACTGAATTCCCGTTGCAGGGTTGCATTTGCCCTTATCATCATAACTCCTAGTACTTCCATTGACACCATTGCTCGCTATGGCACCACGATCCATGTAGTTTAACAAGTTAATGATGCAGAAGATCACAAGTAACCTGAAAAAAAAAAAGAGTTTTGATGAAGATAATGTTGCAGCAAAGAAATACAGAGTTATGTGTCAAAGACCAAACCAGTATCTTTAGCATATATAAATTGGAATGCAAAGAGATCAAAACACACAATCACAAATGAGATTCAGAGCAGAAGAACAAAGACAAATCATGGGAAAAGCTTTCAACTTTGCACCGTTTTATTGGTATTCGAAGCGTGAAGGGAGATGTCAAAATTCGTACACTCATGGCGGGAAGAGAGGAAAAGTGAAGAGTAGAGCAATGATTGATGTACCAAATGGGAGACAGAAAGGAAGATTCGACGATGTCTAAGTTAATCTAATTGAATTACTGTATATTTTTTTGTGGTCTAGATATATGTTTAAACTAATCATAACGTGGAGTATGCCTTATGGTTTTCCTTCCCCCCCTGGTTTTGGTGTCTATCAAGTTCTTTCATCTAACAAATTTTATTTTTAATGAGATAATAATACAATAACATAAAATTTTACACGTTGATAACTTTTTTTTTGAAGACAAATTTTATTAATTGAAACCTGAAACAAGACAAAAGTTTTACAAGAGATTGCACAAGTGCAAAGCATTAAAACAACAAAACTTGCAGTAGTAAATAGTGGAATTTTCCGTATCGACTATACTAAAATAATCAATGTTGAACAAACTAGCCACGACACACCTCTTTTAGCTATTTTCCATTGCGTATCCTTTACTTTGGCAGACGGCTTGTCATGAAATCCGACTGTTGAGGATCCATATCTAGAACCGTCGTATCTTCTTCATCTAGAACCGTTGTTGTCTCTTCTTCATCAGAAAAGTCAAGAGCTAAGAACCTATTCATATTCAAAGATGAGGTAGACAGAGACTTCTGAACAGCATGAGCCGCTCTACCAGATAAATGAGTTGCTTGATTGGTAGTAAGAGTCTCTCTTGGCGAGACCATTAAGAAAGTAGTCGTATTATTATTTGACCCTTCTTCAAAAAAGTAGCCGTATTAGGAAGAGGGGTTGTAGAGTGAATACCTGAGGAGGCCGTATGAACCATAGTGCTAGAAACATGAATCAGATCGTTTCCGATTTCCTTCTCCCTCCTTTCCAAAGATGTTTCCATAACTTAAAGCAGACGAAGCATGGGAGTTGTACTTTTAACAAATCTGCTTGAGTCAGAAGCATTAGGGCATTTCTTTGACCTTTGCAGCAGGAGTACCTGCTTGACCTGAGATATTCGGACATAGGAGGAGACAGCGATAAGCTTTGTGACCTATATGTCCACAACGACTACAATTTTAAGGTACAGAGATCATATCTAAAGGTGACCAAGGGGATACGAACATCAAGCAGTCGTCAACATGCCACAAACCTCTCTGAAGGACCATTTAGGGGTTGACTCGTGTGGAATGTGGAATAAGATTCCGAATGAAGATTCATTTCCTTCCCCAAATCCTCTAGAAGGTGCTGAGCAGCAGTAAAATTGACCTACCACAAATTCTCTTTGGTTCTCTAAACCACCTGGAAGAACATGAGAAGGTAGTCTAACCTCCAAGTACTCAGGAATGGTTACTCTATGAAGATTCCTCAGAGATTGGTTCATCCTTGCTGCCCAAGGATACTCTTTGGAGTGAGCTTTAAGTGAAGCAGCTTCAGCTTCAAAGGAGTGAGAGGTTGTTAAATTCTGAGCCAAAGCCGAGAATAACTAGACCGAGAGTTTCCCTGAATCCCTCTGGGAAGGGCTGGCCATTGGGAATTTTCAGAGTTCAACAAAGGACTTTCTGCAAGATGATGAAGAGGCTTCTCCCATGGGAATTGTAGCCATGACTGAAGCGGAATCAGAGGTGTCATCGATTTGCCCTGCAGCTTGCGAGAGAATTTGGGCATCGATGCAGATGAGGCCAACGCGGATCTTGAGAAGATTCCGAAACTAAGTTGCTTTGCCTGAAAGAGTCGATGGTAAGAGGGTCGCTGATTTTGAGGGGGTCGAATCCAATCTTCTCTCCGATAAAGGCATGAGAAAATCGTAGTCATTTGCTAAGATTTCACCGGAAGACATGGGGCAAATGGATTTCAGAAAGAATAAGGGGGAACTAAGAGAGGAGAGGAGAGAATCCAATCTTCTCTCCGATAAAGGCATGAGAAAATCGTAGTCATTTGCTGAGATTTCACCGGAAGACATGGGGCAAATGGATTTCAGAAAGAATAAGGGAGAACTAAGAGAGGAGAGGAGAGAATCCACCGGTAAAAGAAACCAGCGGCGGAGCCGCCAAGAGAGCCAAAGGAGAAAATTTTTAAGGGAGCGTTTTTGGTTTTACTCTTCTGTGTGGTTTTTGGTTTGCAATCTCTGTGCTCTCTCTCTCTATCTCTAAATCTGTTTATTTTTGAACGATTAATGTATAGAGAGATTGCCCATTTGCGCGATGATCGAAGCCTCCTCCGTTCATCTACCCGAGACGACGGGGTTCACCGTCAACGCCGCCAAATCTGTATGCACAGAACATGAAGACAAGAGGATCCTTCCAAAGGTGGTGAGACGACGGGGTTCACCGTCAATGCCGCCGAATCTGTATGCACAGAACGTGTTGTATGACCATGAAGACAAGAGGATCCCTCACGTGATGCTGTTTGCGATGGACAATATACCTCCGCTTCAAGAACTCACTTACCATTACAATTACATGATCGACCAGGTGCGCGATGTTAACGGTAATATCAAGAAGAAGATTTGCTACTGTGGTTCTTCTGAGTGTACCGGTAGGCTCTATTAATCGATTACCCTCAAAACTTTTCTCCCCTTGTTTTAAACTCAGATTCTTCTTGTTTTTATGTTATTCATCAACAGTTTATGTTATACCGTAGAATCTATATAAATTAATATACCATATAGCAGCAGCTAAGAACAGAGCCGATGTAAGAATCAATGCTGTTTTTCTCCAACTGTTGATATGACCCTGCGTATACAACAACAATGGAGCATTTTGGTTTCTGTTTTGTTCTCCTAAGAAACTTGGTTTCACACAATGTAAACACATAGTTCATGTTATGGTAAATATATCTCTCTTAATAAATCCTCTTATGATTGGACCTTGACTATGTATAATCATGTCCATCAAATAAACAGGAATACATAGAAATACAAACATTGGCTAAAGACAAAGTAAAAGAGAAAAAACAGAGGAAAGAACACAACAAAAACAGAGTAACCGGAAACAATAACTGAAATCAAGACACTGATAAATGGGTTGCCTTCTCCCACAAGCTTCTTTCTCTTTCTCAAAGATTCTTCAAGTTGGGTTTACGAAGGCTACACAAACAAAATATACGTTAGTTTCACTTATTCGTTCATCCAGAAAATCCTATTATAATATATTTTTTTTAAATTCAGAAACATTACCTATCTAGCTAGCTGCGGTGCTTCTTCTTCTTCTGCGTTTGTTTCGACCAAAAGGACTCGTGAACCACTCTGGTTTGTATGAAACCAATATGTATCCAATCGTCAACCCAAACGCAATTCCAGAGACAAATCCTATTACAGCTGCAATCCAACTTAACACCTCATCATCCTCTTCTTCTGGTTCTGGCGTTTCAGACTGCTGCGATGAAGGCTTGTGGATATCTCTGCAAACTTCATCAAGAGCAGATTCAAAAAGTCCCGAGTTGTTGTCGAAGGAAGAGCAAGGCTGCGTTCGAAACTGAGTGCCTCCGGGTAGTAAACCTACAAGCTGGTTATGGGAGAAGTTCATGTATGAAAGAAATGAGAGATTCCCTAGCTCTTGTGGAATTTCTCCGGAAAGCTTGTTTTGGGAAACGTCTAGTGACTCGAGAGCTGTCAGGTTCCCCATGGACGATGGAATGTGGCCAGTGAAAGCATTGTTTGACAAGTTGATGGACGATGGAATGTGGCCAGTGGAAGCTCTTTCAATAAGCCGATGGACTTTGGAATCTCGCCTTCAAGTCTGTTTCCAGAGAAGTCGAGTGCTGTGAGGATTTTTAGGATACGTTTAAACTCCAATGCTACACCTTTATTCACCAAAACCATTGAATCTTCGTAATAGCCTAATTCATCTCCCATATAAATTTTCTTTGACTGATCTTCATGAATCCCAAGTGATGACATTGAACTCCAGTTCTCAAAATAATCAGATGGCAGAGTTCCGTTGAATTGATTGTGTGACATGTCGATGATCTTCAGCTTACGGAATACTCCTTGATTTATCGACCCATGGAATGCATTGGAGCGCAAGACTAGAACTTTCAGGTTTTGTAGAGAACTCAACCAGAAGGGAAACGTGTCGTTGATTCTGTTGCTTTCCACATTCAGAACTTCAAGAGCGGAGAAATGGATCAAAGATCTTGGAAGCTTTCCCACCAGTTGGTTGTGACCAAGGTCAAGCATTCTTAGACCTTTAAATACATTCTTCGGAAGACTTCCACTAAGATGGTTCTGACGTAGGTTCAGAAATGAAAGTTTGCTCTTGAGATTTCCCATACAAAGAGGGATTGAACCACTGAAGTTGTTGTCTGATAAATCTAGAATGGTTAGAGAGTGAAACTCGCATATGAGAGCGGGAATCTCTCCTGTGAAGTTGTTTTTAGAGCCAAACAAGTATGTGGCGCAGCCTAATCGTAACAAGTTCGATGCTCGTTGATTCACAGGAATAGCCGAACAAAGAACAAACTCGAAACTCGTTGATTCGCGAGAATAGCCGAGGATCAAGAGATATATGCTTAAGAAAGCTCTGATTTTATTCAATAAAGATCTGCCCTCTAGGCTTACAATAAGAAAGCTATAAATAGTTGAGAGAAAACACCAAAACCCTAAACCTTTGTAAAAAGGAAAGTCTTAAACGATAACTTAGAGCTCAAGCAAAAGCTTAAAACCCAAATACCTAACAAAGCCCGTATGAATATATAGATAGATGATTATAGATAGTAAATAGTTGTAGATATGCTGCATCAGGTCTCCCCTGGTTGAAGAAGATTCGGCTCTGAATCTGGAGTGTCGTTGTCGCCATGAAACTTAGAAAGAAATTTGACGTTAAACACGTCCGCCGTTTTAATATGATCAGGAAGCTTGAGGCGGTAAGCGTTATTGTTGATACGCTCGATCACTTCAATAGGACCAATTTTGCGAGACCGTAATTTGTTATACTCATGTGCGGGCATGCGATCTCTAGTTAACACCACCCAGACCATCTCACCTGGTTCGAAAATGACTTCACGTCGCTTAGTATCTGCCCGAGTCTTGTATTTCAACGCTGAAAGTTCGAGCTGAGTACACGCTTTCTTGTGTGTTTCCTGTAATGCTTCCACAAATTCAAGTGCACGACCATGCATACGACGCGTATCAGGAACTGTCGTCAAATCAAGAGGACCGTGCGGAAGTACGCTATAAACAATCTGAAATGGACTGAAACCCGAGCTCCTGTTAGTTGCATGATTATGAGCGAACTCAGCTTGGCATAAACGAGACTCCCACGATCGAATGTTGTCTCCCACAAGACATCGCAACATGTTCCCAAGAGAACGATTAGTAACCTCTGTTTGGCCATCCGTTTGAGGATGATAAGCTGTACTCATATCAAGACGTGTGTGCAACATCTTCCACAAGGACCGCCAAAAATGACTTAAAAATCGAGTATCGCGATCAGACACGATTGAAGTGGGTAAACCATGTAAGCGACAGACCTCCTGAAAGAAGAGCTGGGCAACTTTCACAGCATCGGTGGTCCTTTTGCATGGTATAAAATGAACCATTTTTGAAAAACGATCTACGACCACAAATATAGAATCGTTACCTTTTTGAGTACGAGGAAGACCCAAAACAAAGTCCATACTAATGTCGGTCCATGGTTGTGTTGGAATGGGCAATGGTAGATACAAACCTGCATTAGATGCCTGTCCTTTGGCCAATTGACAAGCACGACAACGCTCAACAAATCTCTCGACATCACGCCGAAGTGTAGGCCAAAAGTAAGAAGCTGCAACCAACTGTAACGTGCGATCTCGACCCACATGTCCTTCTCCATGCAGTTCCTCAATGATTCGTAGACATAAGCTACAATCTGGCACACACAATTGAACACCACGGAAGAGAAATCCATCCACAAAAGAGAAATCATCACTATCACCAGATTTAGCTGACTCCCAAAGCTTGCTAAAATACGGATCAGACATGTATAGCTCTGAAAAAGATGCGAAACCACGAACAGAAGTATGCATTGTTGTTAACAAAGTGTGACGTCGGCTTAACGCATCGGCAACACGATTCAACTTTCCGGACTTATGGCGAATGGTGAAAGTGAACTGTTGTAAAAATGCAATCCAAGATGCATGACGTGATGAGACTTTCACTTGACTGCCTAAGTGTTTAAGCGCGTCATGATCAGTGAACAACACAAAATCACGATGAACCAGGTAATGACGCCAATGCTTAATTGCTTGTACCACTGCATAAAACTCGTTGTCGTAAGTGCTATAACGACTCCTAGCACCAGAAATTTTCTCACTGAAAAATGCGATTGGACGAGATTGTTGGCTCAACACAGCTCCAATCCCCAGCTTACACGCATCACAATGCAACTCGAACATGACAGAAAAATCAGGGAGAACCAGCACCGGAGCCGTTGTAAGCTTCTGTTTGATGAGCTCAAAAGCGTCACGTGCCTCCGGAGACCATACAAACGTACCATCTTTCATACAATCAGTGAGAGGTGCCATAATTGTACTAAAGTGAGATACAAACCGCCGATAGAACGATGCCAAGCCATGAAAACTCCGAACCTCTGATGCTGATTTTGGCTCTGGCCACGAACGGACTGCTTCAACCTTACTTGCGTCCATCGATAATCCATTAGCTGAAACCACATAACCCAAAAACAACACCCGATCTACTCCCCATTCACATTTTTGCCGTGCTACAAACAATGTTTCTCGTCGCAAAACAAGTAACACCTGGCGTAAGTGATCAAGATGATCTTGTAGGCACGAAC